ATTTTTTTGGTATTAAATGTTAAAGGCTTTACTAAATAGAATTGCATATTAAAAGTATCGACAAGATGTCTATATAAATAACATTTAGAAGATGTTTCAAACGCACCACGTAATTCCTGAATAAATACGTCATGCAGACGTTGGGTATACATTTCCACAAATTGTTTTTCATTTGGAACATATTGAACATCCCAAATATGATTAAAACCCATTCTATATAAATCATTTTTAACATGATAAACCCAGTTAAGTTTACAATTCGGCTTTTTGACATTAAGCTCAAGTAGTGCATCATAGCATGCTTTTAGTACACAGTTATTTGTATTCAAAATATTTAACCAGTATTTAATTATAGCTACTTTGCGCTTTATATGTAAGGAATAACTTCCTGTCTCAAAGTAAACCATAGAACTATTGACGGTTTTCTTAACGTTTAATAAATCTTTAAGAAAGAGAAGATGGACTTTTTCGATTTGCGGCGATAAACAATTACCCCATACCTCACATCCATAGTTCAGTATGCATGTCACATATGTATCAAACAAAGATAATTTAGTTTCAGTATTAAGGATAAAATCTTTCATTCTTCTTTTTAAAAGATAAAAAGCATTCCTGCCTTGAGATGCCAACGTGTTTTGTGCTACGGTGAATCTTCCATTATAATAAAAAACTAATCCTAGATAACAAAATTTGTCCACTATCACAATTGACTTGCCATTAAACGTCCAGTAAGTTTGTTAACGGAGTGCCCTCTCTGTGTGTGGTAATTATAAAGGTGTCAAAAATCAGTCAAGCGGTTTCGGGCTAGTGTACCTATGAACTTACATGGTTGAATGAAAAAGATAATTGACCTTTTACAGCTGACCAATTAGTACCACTTAGCGCCTTTAGCAAGTTACACTGTGGACAGTATATATCAGAGGCTGGGGTTAGCCTGGCCTAGGGTATATTTGGAAATATTATATTAACGACAACAAGATTAATTAATTAAAAAAAGAAAGGTTTATTGATATTTTAAGAGAAGAATGTGCAGAAAAAAAAAGAATATTCTCAAACGATTTTTTTATAGATATATTTACGATCATTTTGATCTACAAAACGAGCTGCGTAAACCCATACAATCTGAAAGAAATCAAAAGAAATATCTCCTCATTACTTAAAATTAGAAAAAGGCGATATCAAAACATTGAATCGTCGAGTGTGTATGATGTTGAAGACCAAGTCATTCTGATTTGCGAGCAATTGAAAACTTATTATATTAAAAAGCCAAGCATATTTAAATTGAAAGGATTATTGAGTGTGAAAACTACAAAAGAAATTAGGGAAATCAGTATAAAATTTGCAAATTCGAGAGGAACCTAATTATCATAAATAGGTATAGTTTCACTTGTAATTGTGTTGTGAGTGTGTGTAATGTTGTGTAATGTTATTTTGTATTTTGCACATTTAATATCACAAATGTTGTTACTTTGTAACTGGTGGGTCGAACGACTCAAAGTAATTAAGAACTTGAACTTGAACCAGGCGATGAGGCTACGTACATGTATGACAAATTATGAAATATTGTAGCACTTACACTTACATGTATTGAGCACAGACAAACAAAATGTTATGTAGTTTTGCCACTCATCTATTGTGGTGTTGTCTATAAAAAGTCTGACAACAGTCAGAGACGTTTACTTTAAAGCAAACATTTTCACTTGATTTTGTGTGCGCTACCATTCCCCATCACCAGTTTCACGAAAAATTACTTAATTATGGAGACTCGTTAACTTGAAATTTCAGGAAAATGTCGTCATCTTCCCTCAACGCCATAACAATTTCATGTGGAACTAGAGACAAGAGATTGTGAGCATCCTCACATTGATACGCATGTATACCCCCCCCCCAAGTGAAAAATGATATAAATGAGTGATAAATGTATCTATTAAATAAACCCCTCCCCCTACCCACACTCTTTTACTTTGCTCTACTCTACCATGACTAATTGCCCCTGGACCCTGATCAGGAAGCTATCGCCCTAAGCCTAAACTCTCCTTGATCCACGCCTGTTAAGGTACAAACGTACATGTACAAACGGAGAAATACATATTGTAGATAAATTGAAGTTTGACTTGGTCTCAGTCCCTATGTTATCTGACATCAAACCCCTATACCCTCTGTAGTACACACCCTCAGGCAGACACAGTCATAATTTCTCTTGTACAAGGATTCAGACAGGTAAGATTTACCTGTAGAAAAGTCAGTATAGATACCTACATTTTTATGATCGATAAAGAAAACCTATAATCTTATTAATATTAGAGGTACATATCATGAATGTAAAAATTACATATATTTAGTACATATTATTTTTCTTATTCATAATAGTTTCCTACATGCACGAGCTTGCCTTTCAAACTGAAATATATATATAATAACTCCCGTAACAATTTACACGTACAATGTATACTTAAACAAGAATCAACTACATTTTCATAATAAAATAAAAGATGTATAACAAAAAAACTTGTTTATCTGTGAATGAAATTTAATTAATAGACATGTTATAACATGTATACATTTCAAATCTCCGATGCATGTATTTGCATGTACTAATAATTAAGCACATTATCGGTCTCCAAATCCTACGAAAAATCTAAAAGTGCATGGAAGTATTAAATTAAAGACAATATAAAAAATAGAAATAGAGGTACTGGATCCTTAACACAGGAGTCTGAAATTATATCATTTTTAATTATTATTAGGCTTATTAATTATTACGTTTCTCGTTAAAAAAAACGTAACAAGTTTACTTACTGTCAATACTAATTAGTCTTTTATTCGGTAAGCAGGTGGAAATACTTCTGACCATAACTGATTATTATCTGTGTGTCGCGTTGATCTGTTAGCGTACGTCAGGTCTTTGTGATGGATATATTACATGTACCAATATTTGATCGATCTTTATCTTTATAAATCACGAGACATTTCTGTTTGTTTCACACTCATCCATTATGCAAAACGAAATGGCAAAATTTAAATCATTCTCATGTGCCTCGATCCTCGTAGCCTACAGTGTACTGACGTTTCTTCCTATGTGGGTATGTTCGTTTCGTTTTAGATATTTTATGTGCTTCCGCTTTTTATGTAAACCCGTTCTTGTCACAACAAACGAATCACCGTTTGTAAGCGTCATCCGTAGCACTTCCGTACCGTTAACGTAACACTTCCGTACCGTTTGCGTAGCACTTGCGTACCATTTCCGTACCATTTGCGTAGCACTTCCGTACCGTTTGCGTAGCACTTCCGTACCGTTTGCGTCCAAGGTGGAACAGCGAACGTGTACGGGTCTGTAATATGCTCTCTAGCTAGTTTGCTGATTGCTTCCAATTATATGCATACAAGAATGTAAGTGCTACGGAAAGGCTACGCAAGTAAAAATACTTGATCATAAAAAAGTTAACTGTTCATTCATCATGATTAACCGGGTTTTAATGTTTATTAATTAAACATGAAAAAAAACCCACTTGCTATCACTAACGATGAACGTAAACGTACATCCAGCATATAGATAATTTAAGTGAATTTCTGTACAATGGACGTTCTTTGTTACATACAGCCCTAAAAATCACAAAAGACAGGTTGTCTTTATGGACAGGTTATTGTTTAAGGAAAGTAACACTTGTACATATTAATGACCAAAGATATATTGTTTTTGCTTCATTACTGCACCAGTAACAGCTCCAAGTTTAAGAGAAGATAACTCTTGAATGATTTAAAACATATATTGTTGTCATATGCAATTCTATATTTCTTCAGTTTATATGCTCCTACGTCTTCTGGCCACTGGCTTTCATGATGGGTGTGGACACTGGCGATTGTCCGAAAGTGGCCGAACTAGTGGGAATAAAAACCTTTATAAACGAGTTTGTAGCGTACACGGCACTGTCTACGTACATCAAGAACGCTCAGAATCTCAGTTGGTATGAGGGCCTCGCTCATAGCAACAATACAAACATCACTTCCGGTGTGTTTAACGCCACCTGGCGGTACGACAATGGAGACATCGTATATGATGATCTCAACATAACGTTAATTGGAGGAGTTCTTTCGGTAAGTATTAACCAAACACTGCTTCATTTTAAATCATAAAGCTATTTCACTTTGAGAGAGAATCCATTTTTTTTTATTAGAAGAGTACTTGAATTAAAGTATGAAATAGAATTGTTAAAAGAATATTGCGCTTTTTACCATAATGATACAGTGTATCTGCACTTGTTATGTACAAACAAAAGGGGAAGCCGACTGCCGTTTTGAATACTGAATTCAGATGTAAAATTACTTACAATAATTCACATGGCTATGCTTATGCTGTTTACCAAAATCAATTGGTACTTTTCATTGCTCTTTGAATGCCATTTCTCGGATAGTGACGTCAATATTCCCATAATATCATATTGTTATTATTGACGATAACTACACTTTGCTGGCAGATAATTTCAGTAGTTGTTTTAATAAATTTTTAACATTCACGTTATATATAAGTCATTGTTTATAAATGGTTACTACGAGTCACGTGACTAACTCGGAGGTTTTTAACTTTACAGGAGAGATCTGTTGTCATATCAACGTATGCCCTGTGTGGTTTCTCCAATATCTCCTCCATCGGTATCATGCTTGGTGCGCTTGGCGCCATGGCACCGTCTCGGAAAAGTGACCTGTCTCAAGTTGTCGTTAGGGCCATGATCGCAGGCAACGTAGCGTGCTTCATGACCGCCTGCATAGCTGGTGAGATTTCATGCTAGTTTTCTGCAGCCCATTTTTCTGTAAGGTCGTGGTATTTTCATTTAAGTTCCTCGTTCTAGATTTAAAATGTTAAACTCTTCTGTTTGAAATATATTCCCGAACGTTTGCTGTTAACTTTGTAGACACAGTTTTCTCCCACCCTTCACAGGCGTTTCTCTTAGGGAGAGATAATCTCGTGCCGATTAGCACGTGTTCAATTGTGACGTCATTAAAATGCGTCACTGGTAATTGTGACGTCACCAAAAGTGAATGACGATATTCATACCCAACATGTGTTTTTGTTTACACTACTGTCGGTGGAGTTGTGACTGAAATAATAGGATCGGAGAAAATCAATCATCCCCTACCTTGCGGGTGTGACAGTATTCTCTCACCCTTCACAGGTGTGTCTCCCGTTTTAGCCGGGAAAGATCAGCTTGTCGACCCCGAGGGGGAGATAGTCTCGTGCCGATTAGCACGTGTTCAATTGTGACGTCATTAAAATGCGTCATCGGTAATTGTGACGTCATCAAAAGTGAATAACGATTTGCATACCCCGTATGTGTTTTTGTTTGCAAACATGGCAGACTACTGTCGATGGAGCTGTGACTGAAATGATAGGATGGGAGAAAAACAATCATCCCCTACCTTGAGAGTGTAACAGAGAAATATCCAACACTAGGGGTGATTTTTTGGTTGTCTAACCCGAGGCTCTGCCGATTTTAATGACGTCACAATTAAACACGTGCTAATCGGCACGAGGCTATCTCCCCCTAGGGGGTGACAAACTGATCTTTCCCGGCTAAAATGGGAGACACATATGTGAAGGGTGGGATAATTCTCTGTCACACCCTCAAGGTAGGGGAAGATTCTATTAATCTCCAACCCTCGGGGTGATTTGTTTGGTTGTCTAACCCTCGGCAGAGCCTCGGGTTAGACAACCAAAAACCATCACCGCTCGGGTTGGAGATTTCTCTATCAAATCCTCAAGGTAGGGAACGATTCTATTAATCTCCCTCGAGAAGTTGCATGGTTCAAAAATACGCTAGTTACCCATTAATTATATAAGATAAAAAAATAATCATATAGTTCTAAAAAACCATACGATTAATATAGGCGTTTTACGCACTTCCTGTTTTGTTTTAATAGTAGTGTTTAAGGATGTACACCTCTGAGAAGTCAAAAAATTCCTGTATTAAACCTTTTTTCTTATATTGATTTTTGGAAAAAGGAGATAATGGCATAGTAGAAAATGCAAAAAAAACACTATATGTCGGTGTGGTCGTTTTTGTGCTATGATCGGTCAAAGATACCAATTTAACACAATATGTGATTTTTAGGTGAATTTTCGGGTTTTGACCAATTGCAGAACAAATTCATACAATTTCTTCCAAGTGTGTTATCAGATATGTATGAATGTTTGTAGAATTGATAAAAATATTATTTTCTTTGAAACTATGGAAGTAAAATGTCTTAAACTTATTCATTTTACTCAAAAATGTGATTTTAGTTACCCCTACCCCTTATTTTTTAATGATAAAATGCACATTTTTCACCAATTTTGCCGATTAAACGCTTGATATAAAAAAATCCTGTAATAAACCTTTTTTTAGTATTCAATGAATCAAAAGAAAATGTGTTTGTCTTTCTAAAACAGCCACAAAAATGGGGGGTCGGTGTGCTTTTTTTTTGTCCCATTATTATTTGTGTTATTTTTCACCTTTTTCGGGGTCAAAAATCAAAAGTTCTTCAGTTACCCTAATATGTAAAAAAAAATATTAATAATATATAACTTTCCACTTTTTTGCATAGTATTTTAATCATATTGGACATTATAAAGTTGAACAGCAAAATTGAACCTGCTACAATTAAAAATGGTGACACAATGACCCTTTAAGTCATCCATCTAGTGTAAAAAAAGGAGAATTTTGGCCCTTTGTGAAGCGCAAGAAATTCACATAAATACACTTTTTCAAAGTGGCCGCCAAAATGGGCATTTTTTAAAAATTCTTGTAAAAAATGTTCTACACACAACAGACATCGAGTTTTTTTTACATGTTTTTCAGATGGGTGTTTGCTATTATACCTATCATAATTTGTTAAATATTACAAAAACCCGTTACACCAGATCAAAACGAGACTTGAACGTGACTGAAACCTCAGAAGAGTACATCCTTAAACCAATTTGAATATTCTCATTTTTGGCCTCTAGCATCACCGATGAGTCCTAGAAGGACGAACAAGCTGTATGGCGAAATAGGATTTATCAAAAAACAAATTACAGGCGCTATCACACATGTGTGTCTCACATGTTTGTCACACGTGTTTGTCTCTCGAACGCCTTACCTTTCCGTTGTTTAACATACTCTGTTAATTGATCCTGAGATTGAAGGCATGCTTGTATTGAAAACTGGGATTTATTGAAATGTCAGTTGTTTCTTCCGAGTATGAACTCAATTCCCTTTCTACAATTAAATAATATCAATAGCATATCATTATTATGTCGTAAAACTTCAGTATACAATTCTTCATTCTGATAATTAATATCGTTCTTCTGAAGATGTTCTTTCATTTTGTTATGTGTGTACGCCTGTCTCTTAAGACTTGTTTTGTGTTGTAGGTTTACTGTACGAGGGAGAACTGTGAGCGTATTGCTGACTGAAGTAGACTGTTGGACATTTCAGTTGATACTTCAGTAGTTATCATCATTTTGGAATCTCCAAATAAAGCTGGTTCAATTTAGGTGTTTAAATTAGCCAACCTCAATTAGTCCTATGCGTTTCTGAGCGATATCTGGACGCTTATTGCCCGTTTCCAGCCCGGTAGCCTTAGCTTGGTGATACTGTATTAACATATTTTGCAATGGGTTATTTTCACAATTTTGATGGTTGTGTGCATCTGTAAATTCCATTGAGCAGTAAATCAAGTAACACGTTCAGTATTGAGGGATGAAACTGAACAATGCGCAAATAAGTTATAATGGAAAAACCGCGAAAAAATAAACGATACAAAAAATCGAGTAGAATTATTACAAGTTTGATATATTATGATCATTTGTTTGTGAGAGTAACGTCATTATTTTTGAGAAAACGACTTAATTTTCTCACACAAACCAATGACGTAACAATCAATACCTGCTCACAAGAGAAGATAACTCTGCAATACGAAAAGACGGAGATAAGGAACGTTTCTAAAGGTATAACTAATGGGTTGTACACAGTTTGCAGTAAAAATGCAGCTTTTTATATTTGTTTATATATTTTCAGCACGTTTTATACAATACAAAATTCATTCTTGTCATATATATGTAAATGTAAATAACTAAAAATATCACACAAGTTCAACTTTCACCCCATGCATACAATTCTTTGTGGTAATATTTTTGTCATTCAGTTTCAAAGGGCATATATTTACATTGGTATTTAAAAGTAAATGAAAATAGAAATATGCTATTTCATCTTAACAGTTTGCAATATATTTCTGTGTATTATAAGTGTCCTAAGTTGTTTTTTAACTTTTGCTAGATATTTGTTTATCGACTTTACATATCATTTTCAAAATTAGGATTAGTTCAAGGTCTATTGATTGTCATATTCCATTATGATAATATAGACCAAGCATAAATGTTCCTAATTCAATTTTGATCAAAGACCAAAATTAAATATTTCACATTCTCTCATGCTAGACCTATTCAGGTTATATCGTGTATCCAAAAAATGATTGGCAACACAAAAAGTGATGACGTCGTATACGGTATTGTGAGATGCGGTGTTTGTAATTCTAACTTCTGATGGTTGAAGTTGCTCGGCAATGCAATTAATGCGCAATGTTGTATTTTGTACAAAATTATTTCGTTTTTTATTAGAAGTTAATAAACATTCATGTATAATGACCTAAAAAGTGTTGACTGTCTTTTAAAATAAAATTATTAGGGATAAACTGACTTATTTTAGGGGTTAGACGGTACTTGTACAAACCGAGAAACGTTTATGCCGTATAACACCCAAACTAGTCATGATTGTTCCTTAAATAAATCGATGGTTACTGTTTTTCATTCCGTTTGATAATATAAACCAAACATTAAGCTGTCTTATTCCATTATGGCTGTACAGATCTTGGAGAAATGCTTCTTTGAAGACAGCATATTGCCTTATTACGATTTTAATAGAAACTCGAAATTGTGTGACCATTTTCTATAATTTATTTTATCCTCATAAAGTTCGCTGTTTTGTTTCAAGTTCATGTTTACATGCAATGTGGAATATCAACCATTAATAAGTTGAATAAGCACAGGTTTCTTGAAAAGCAAGATTATTTGATTCAATCAAGTTTCATATTTTTTTTAAAGAATAAAATTCGTTCATCATTTTCTTCTTGTGGAAACTGTATGATTTTACTGATTAATGCATGTACATGTAATAAACATTTCTTGTACCTATTTTCAAGCACGTATATATTTCGCAATTAGCAGGTATGAAAGAAAGGTATTATATAGATCATTTACCACTCCAGCGTGTTGTAGGCGGAGAAATGTCAACTCGAGTGTAAGATTTAAAAGCCTCGTTCTACATTCACGACGTCATACTTACGGTTCTGTATTACATGTGCTCAGGCTGAAGATGAATACCATTTTATTATGGAATGGCCATTATACTCTAAAAATAGGTCAAAATATTTATACATAAGATACTTAATCCGACCAAATATGTAAAATTTGTAGAACTTATTTCATCGGAGAACAAAACTATAACTCAAAGTTTAGCAATGTGCATTTATAAAGCAAATTAAATTTGAAATAGAGTATTAAATTAAAATTACACTAACACATGTCAGTGTATCCTTCGCTCACAGTGATGTTACACTCCTTTGAATGCTGCTGTAACCTTATGAAAATAATATGTACAGATTGTATTTATTATGTACAGATTGTATTTACTATGTACAGATTGTATTACTTTGTACATATTGTATTTACTATGTACAGATTGTATTTACTATGTACAGACTGCAAGGCTCTATACCTTCCTTTAGGGGTTGCTATGGTAGTCCCTGCTAGGCTCTATATTTTTCTTTATGGGTTGCTATGGTAGTCCATGCTAGGCTCTGTACCTCCCTTTTACGGTGGTTATGATGATCCCTGTTAACCACGATGTTGTCTTTTAGACGGTCTAATTAAAATCAGATCCTAATTCCCGTTCAGAGTATCGTAGAGAAACGGGAATTAGGATATGATTTTAATTAGATTGTGCCTTAGAGATAGTTTCAGCAGTTACTGCTAACCTGAAGTTCGTGCTTGAGTGTTAGTTTCATTCTTTGTTGGGGGTCATAGGAGTTTCTGCTGGCCATGACGTCGTCTATTATTGGCAGTTAAGATTAACCCGAGGAGGTTCTATGTACAAGTATGTCCATTTTCAAAGATAGCTGTTGTAGATTCGGTTTGCCAAATTTGGGTGAGCCATTTGGTTGTGGAGTTTGTTGAACTTTGACATAAGTTCCTGTTGACGTAATCGTTCCTCCTGGAGTTGTTTCTCTATCGCCTCCTTCTCGTCCTCCAGGGATGACTTTTCTTTAAGGAGCTGAGGAACCTTGAGCTGTAGACTAGACAGGCGGGCATCCGTCTCCCTCACCAGATCGCGGGCCGTCGACACTTAAAAGACGACAGTAGTAGGCGGATAATTATGTGTATGTACTAGTAACAATGACAATTTTACTGCGTCGTCACGATCTGCAAGATTTGTGAAAATTGTCCAAAATTATCATTTGGATTATTTACGTTAAATGCTTGGCTTCCCAATTTTAGACACACATCAAATAAGGAACTCGGGCTGTGATTTATGTATATTGGAGAGGAAGAGTAAATTCAAGAAAATAACCTGAAAATTAAAATAACCCGGTTTTTAAGATTAATTTTGTATGCTGTCAGGGAGCCATCCTGCGTGAGGAAAAGAAATGTTCGGGGAGTTGAACCAAGGGTCCCAACCCTGCAGACTTCTATCATGTATTTATCATTAATATACTTTGCTGTGACAATGAAATATATCAACCTTAAAATCGGATTACATTCTTGTTTAATCTTGTTCAGTTCTAATTTTATGTACAAAACACGAGTGTAAGTCTCCAATATTTTAGTTATATCGGAAGGACAAACCATGTGATCTAGTATCACATGATCTAGTGTCACACCCATTATCAAGCGATCCTCTTTTCATTTAAACATGTTTGATTTGTCGAGCAATAAAAACGGATCAGACACAAACTATCACTAGTTAACAAGCCATCTTCCACAGATTTCGATACATAAGCAACATAAATCGCAACAATAAACAAAATCATCAAATGCTTAATACATGATACTCAAAACTATTTTGCAACAGACATATCTGTATATTAAAGCGATTTGGAATACCTGGAGAATCCCATTCTAAAATAAGACGACCAAATGCATTTTTGACATTAAGTCTGCCGATGAACCGTCACACTATCACATCAAAACAACATTAAGTCTGCCGATGAATGGTCACACTATCACACCAAAACAACATTAAGTCTGCCGATGACCCGTCACACTATCACATCAAACAACATAAAGTCTGCCGATGAATCGTCACACTATCACACCTAAACAACATCAAGTCTGCCGATGAACCGTCACACTATCACATCATAACAACATTAAGTCTGCCGATGAACCGTCACACTATCACATCAAACAACATTAAGTCTGCCGATGAATCGTCACACTATCACACCTAAACAACATTAAGTCTGCCGATGAACCGTCACACTATCACACCAAAATAACATTAAGTCTGCCGATGAACCGTCACACTATCACACCAAAACAACATTAAGTCTGCCGATGAACCGTCACACTATCACA